TGGACTAAGTCAAGTGTGAAGTGTAACATATGAACTGAATTCCCATTTTTCAGGCATAACTGCATGGACAACAGATTTACGCCGGGAAGAGGCATCCCTCCCAGAAAGTGAAATCAAGTGCATGCTCTGACAAAACTCCAGAGCCAAAAGAAAGGCCAAATCACAAATTTCATACTCCAAGTTTATGAAGGGGAAAAAGTACTAGAGGTATTCTCTAAAAATAGTTACCTTTCTTCTTTCCTTCCTTAAATAAATTGTATTAAGCATCGTATTGGTCATGCTGGGCACCCTGTATTACACACCTGGGAGCTGATAGTAATACAGCCTACCTGTGGAAAGAGATGCCAACATAGCCGGGGGCCAGACCCAGAGGCCTAGAGCAAGGACTTGGGTCAAGACCTGTATTCAAACCCTGGTATGGGCTGTGTAGGTTGCGGCATGGTGGTCATCAGGCTGCCTTCTGAACCCTGGTGCTGTCATCTACAAGCTGTGTGGCCTTGGGCCAGATTACTCTTCTTTGCCTTAGTCTGCTCATCTTTAAAATGGGGATAATGAATAATCAAACTGTCCTTTAACAGGTGAATAGATAACCAAAATGTGGTGTGTCCATACTATGATTATCAATAAAAATGAATAGGATAATGACACATGCAGCAACCTGAATCTCAAAATCATTACAGTGAGTGAAAAAAGCCAGACGCAAAAGCATACATACATATGATTCAGTTTACATAAAATTCCAGAAAAGGTAAACCACTCTATTACGACCAAAAAAAAAAAAAAAAAATAACCAACAAAAACAATCAGTAGTTGCCTGGAGACAGGGGCAGAGGAAGGACGGACTAGAAAGTGGCATGAGAAACTTTTGGGGGTGATGGAAGTGTTCTGTAGCGGTGTTTTCACAGGACATACATGTCTGGTCGAATTTCAAATTGTGCACTTTAAATGGATGCACTCTATTGTACGTAAATTAGACCTACATAAAGTTGATTTTGAAAGATTTTCCCATAGATTTGTTTTGAGAATTAAATGAGAAAAAAAAGTAAAACGCTAGGCTTAGTGGCTGGCACATGGTAAATGTTTGGTAATGAGTGGTGATGGTGGCGATATAGCTGGAGACCATGGTATGAGAGCAGAGTGTTTGGGAGTCAGAAGACGAGGGTCCCCGGTCCCCTGTGCATTCTGCTATTTTGCGTAATAACCTCTAAGTCTTGATTTCTTAACATGACAAATGATAGGTTTGGACAAGACAGCCTATAAAACTGTTTAAAGCTGCAGCAATTTGATTCTAATTGTTGGCAGCCGTCACAACCTTCTAATAATATGCATTTACGATGTGTGTGAACTGTAGTACGCAGAAGGTTTTGCTGCAACATTTAACAGTTACTCCTTGGAATATCGCATTTTCACACATTGAAAAAAATAGAGAAAGGCAGATTTCAGAAGTCCTCTAAAGGGAGATGGAAAGAGGTCCAAGGCAGCATGTGGAGAGGCCTACAGAAGAATACCAGTTGAGCAAACCTTCTGTGGACCATAAATTTAATAAGCGCCTCAGTTATCAGCATCATGATTTCCATGCCTATGACTCCTCGACCACCTAATAGCTTTGTTACTGCCTGGCAGGGGTCCTGCCTTCTCGAGTCCTTTGGCACATCTTCCTGGATGGTGACCCTGCTGCCCTATGCAACCAATGGCCGAAGCAACTGACAATTGGTGAGGACGGGCAGGCCAACAGTGCGGCCAGCACCCACCAATCACTGAGCCACCACAGCTGCCAGTTTAGCACTAGCAGAGGGCATCCTAGGTACATGTCTGGGAAATCTTGGGAAGAGAAATGCAGGATACCTTCTTTAATAGGGCACTGGGAATTATCAGTGGGTGGAGAAGGTTGGCAGCTAGGAGGAGTTTAGTAGAGCTAAGGAGGGACATCTGGCAAAAAAGAAATGAGGTTGTCAACATGAGATACTGGAAAAAGCAAAGAAAAGTGCTAAAGGATGATGAGAGTATGCTCATAAGCTCTTACTAAATCTTGAGGTTGTCAACATGAGATACTGGAAAAAGCAAAGTGCTAAAGAATGATGAGAGCATGCTCATAAGCTCTTACTAAATCCGAGAATACAGACTGAATTCCTGACCTCCAGCGACTGCTTTTCCACCTTAAAACTCCTTTGGAATGAGATGAGGCAGAGCTGTTTCACACACTCCTTTCCTCTCTAGTCCTGAGTCCCGGCTTCAGAAGCACTACAGCATGGTTGTCAAACTTCAGTGTGCTAAACAGTAATCCAGGGAGCTTATTTAAATTAATGCAGATCCCTGGGCCCCAATGCCAGCTTCTGCTTTGTGGGTGGCCTGAGACTCTGCCTTTTAGCCATCATCCCAGAATATTCCACAAGTGTCCTATATGACCCTTGCCCCAATCCTGTGAGGTAGCTAAAGCACAAGTAATCATCCAAGTTTGACTCATTTAATTCTCTCCTTCACTTTGTAGTTGTGTGCAAAGGTGAGTTAATAGAAAGCTTTAGGACTCCTTTCTAGCCATGAGAGAGTCCCTGGTACCGGACTTGTCTTACTGCTGTGAACAATTAGAAAACTAAAAAAGTATCATATACAACTGTTTCCAGACAGTGGACAAGGCAGCACAGGACTGCGACCCCCGAGAGAAAGGAAATAAATGAAGTGAGCTCTGCCGTCACCTTGGCTTTCTGCCTAGAGGTACCTCCTGGGTGCTGGCACTGTGAAGGGGAACCCCTAGTAGAGCAAGGAGGTCTCACTGAGTTGAGGAGACAGAGGTCAAAGTTTAGAGGGCTAAGGTGGCTGGAATTTGAGAAGCAGAAGGTGAGAGACGGGGAGCTATGTAGAGAAAGAGCTCCAGAAATATAGATTGAGAACATACTAAGCAGTGCATGTACAGGGTCAAATTGCACAAGGCGGGGCAAAAAATTACCACCAGCAAGGTGTAAGCCGAGCAATCCCCAGAGCGTGCATGGCACCGGGAGGGGCTCAGCTCCACCCAGGCCCGTGGGAAGTCCTTGCTGACAACCAGGCGCTCAGCAGAGACACCTGAGAGTCTTCCTGCTTGGGGCTAATGCTAGACTTGTGCTAATGAAAGCTGAAAAACATGCTCAAAATGATGGAGTTGATCAACAAACACACTGACTGCCTACCAAAACAAATACATCAGTCTTTAAAGAAAGACAGCAAGATCCAGACACTCAACGTAGTAACATTCACAACAGCCAGCGTCCAATCAAAAAGCCACTGATCAAGCAGAAAAATATGACTTGTAACAAGAAGAAAACTCAGTTGAAAAACTGAGAAAAGACAGAGATGATAGAATTAGCAGAAAAGGACTTTAAAAGAGCTGCAATAAAGGTTACTATCAAGGAAAAAGAAAAACATGACAAATGGAAGATAAATATAGATATGTCTATATATAGAAAGAACTGAATGGAGCTTCTAGAGCCGAAAAAATACAATATCTGAAACAACAAAGTCACTGGATAAGCTTAACAGCAGATTAGACGTTATAAAAGAAAAGATCAGTAACATAGCAATAGAAACTATCCAAACTGAGCAGAGAGTTTAAAATAGACCAGAAAAAAAAAAAAACAAAAACAAAAAAAACAGAGCCTCAATGACCTGTGTGGCAACTTCTACTGAGGTAATCCACATACCTGTACTTGGAGTCCCAGGGGAGTGAGAGGGGAGAAAAATACACTTAAGGAAATAATGGCTAAAATTCTCTGAATTTGATGAAAACGATAAATCCAGAGACTCCGGAAGTTCAAGTGGGCTAAACACAAAGTAAACTACACTAAAGAACATCATATCCAAATTGCTGAAAATAAAAGATAAAGGAAAGTAAATCTTAAAAGCAGCCAGAGAAGAAAAAGACACTGCATACAGGGCAACAAAGAATTATCACTGACTTCTCATCAGAAATCATGTAAGCCAGAGAACCATGAAATAACTATTTAAAGTGCTAAAAGGAATAAAAAGTTGTTAGTCTAGAATTCTATATCTGGTAAAAAGTAAAGACATTTTCAGACAAACAAAGCTGAGAGAATTTGTCGCCAGAAGATCTGCTCTACAAAAAATGTTAAATAAAGTTTTTCAGGCACAAGGAAAATGATACCAGATGGAAACTGAGTTCTACACAAAAGAATAAAGTGTGAATATGGTAAACGTGTGGGTTAAAAAAAAGGCTTCGATAATTTAGGTCCCAAATATAATCTCCTCTCTAGTAAGATTCTTGTAAAAAGTACGCACAAATTTTATCTTTTCTCTCGAGTTTTGAATAAAGGCTTCATCTGTGCCATGGCTACTGAACGACAGTGCTGTTTATCCCTACAACGTCAGCCATTAACTGACTACTCTGTGTTGTGCACTGAAGATGCGAAGATAAATAAGAAATGGGTCTGCCATCAAGGAGCTTAGAGCCTGGTAGGAAGAACAATCAAGGCAACAAAGAGTTAAAGTGTGACAGTCACCGAGCTCTGTGACTACAGGCAACTTATTAACCTCGCTGTAGTTTAGTTTCGTGGACTATAAAATGGGGATAATAATAGTACCAGCATCCCAAGGGTTGTTGTGAAGATTAAATGCTTTAACATCTATAATCTGGTAGAACAGTGCCTGATATATAATAAACACCTAATAAATATTAGCTGTTGCTGCTGCTGTTGTTACAATATTGCCCAGGAGGTTGTAGGAGCACAGAGAAAGAACAGCTGAGCCACAAAGCGAGTGGGATGGGAAGGGAAGACATTTTAGAGGAGGTGATGCTTCAGCTGAGTTCTGAAGGACGAGGAGGGTTAATGGATAAAGGAGGGAGTGAGGTACTCCAGGCAGAGGCTGCAGCACTTAGCAAGGCACGGATGAGGTCACTGCAAACCTTTTCAGTAAGGCTGCAGCAAACAGTGCCTCAGCTGTAGCCCAGGAAATGCTCTGGGCCCCTGGACATCCCTGGAAGCCTTCGACCTCCTCCGAGGACATCTTACCTCCTCCGTCATCTAATCCATCCAGGCTCTGCTGTCTGAGGCGGTAACTGCCCCCAAAAAAGAAAGAAAGGAAAACAGAAAATGAGTTTCAAACAGAGAGAAACAACCCAGATTTCTATTGTATCCATTCTTTCTCCTAGACGAAAAAGTCCCTGGACCCACATTTCTCCATCAACTTGCTCAATCCTAACTGGGCAACTGGGTTTGCCGCGTGTGGCTGCCCAAGCTGCGTGCCGCATCGTTCCAGGGTGGCATCGCAGACTATGACACGAATGCTCCTCCCACCCCCGGATGTGTGACACTCGGCAGTCCCGCCTCACAAACCATCTTTACCTGGTAACTTTCTTTCTGATATAAGTTTTAGAGAAGGCTAGGTTTAGAAGCTGTTGCTTCTGCTCATCTATATCAATATAGCAGAACCTGTGGGTAGTACTTTGATACCTGGACATATATATAATTCTAAAAACCACGCAGGGTGGGAGATATGACATGGGCATCAACGCCAGAGTCCAGACTCTCAGCTGAGGAAGCAGCATTAGCCAAACCCTTGATTCCATGCGCATAACCCAACCGCAGAGCACAGCCAGATTCCTACTGTTATTTTAATGCTATGCCCAACAAAGGCTGAACAGGTAATGACTACGAAGACTGCACTGTTGACAAAGGTCACCACAGGATGCCATAAGAATACTGGAAACATACTCTTCTATTTCTTCAGAAGCCTTCCTTCCTGACCTGAAAAAAAGAAGGACAAGGTTTATGAGAACCCACTAGTCCCAAGCACAGTCTCATGGAATGTTGGAGAGGGGGCGTTTCAAAAGCGGGGGCTAGTTAGCATATCCCAAGTGCTTTGCCTGGATTCCTTTTTATAGACCAAGGCCCATACCCAGCATGAGAGAACTAGACACTGTGATGCTGTCTTATAACCTTATTTCAGCATAACTCCACATCAGATTGTTGAATTTAAGTGCAGGCTGGATGAGAAGCTTAAAATTCAAGTGGATATAGATGATACGGTGCCCTCCTTTCTTTCAACAAATAATTGGACCAATTTATAGAACACTTTCCTAGGACTGAGGCTTTGGGTCCCACCTGGAGCTGTTGCCCTGAAAGGCAAAACTTCTCATGCACAAGAAGGAAGGAACCAGCCACACAGCTCAGGCTGCAGGTTCAGTGCCTCTATCTCTGTAACTTCCACCCGAAGGACCAGAAACCCCGAGTGAGGCTGGCGAGCAGTGTCCTTAAGACATTCCATGGGAACGGGAAGTGTGTTTTAAAAAACGGACATCTAAGGCACTGGCTCTCAAACCTGAACGTGCATGAGAACCATCTGGGAAGCTTGACACACATGCACATTGCTGGGCCTGGCCACAGAGATGTCTGGATCAGCTGGTCTGGGAGAGGGACAGCCCAGGAATATGCACCTAAAACAAATTTCCAGTAATTCTAATCCAAGTAGGTCACGACTGACACTCTGGGAAACACTGATCTTAAGTCTTCTGAATGAGATTGGTGAATACTGGTGATTATTAAAGTTGAGTGTTGGGTACGTGGTGATTACTTTTCTGTGTGTCTGAACATTTCCACAGTAAGAGTTCTTTTTATTTTATTTTTTTATGAATCCTTTTAAGTTAGGAATTAATCACCGTGACGAGCAGGGGCAAAGAGGGGCCAGGAGGCAGGGTGCATGAGAAGGCCCTCAACAATAAGAGCGACTTTGGAACCAAACAACAATTCCTGCAAAATGCAAATAATCCCCCTTCGAAGAGTATAAACATAAATCAAGCCCAAGTTTGAATATACTACTCTTCTCATGAAATTTAAACTATACCTACTATGCAAGAGAGGAAGAGAGGAAGAAAGGGAGGGAGGGAGGGGGAGAGAAAGAAAAGAAAGGAAATAGAGGAGAGAGAGAGAGAGAGAGATAGAGAGAGAGACAGCGAGAGAGAGAGAGAGAGAGGAGGGAGAGAGAGGAGAGAGAGAGAAGAGCAGATTCAGAACCATGAATTACAGGAAAGAGAGGAAAGGAAAATTGAATGAATTTTGGCTGAAGTTGGGGAGGGAGAAGAGGATGGGTAGGGAAATTTGAAACAGGATGGAACAAGTCCTGAAGGATCTCCCGGGCCAAGTGAACAGACTGAACTACTAAGAGCAGGAGGGCGAGGGGGACAGAATGGGTGGTTGGAGGACACCGAAGGGAAATTACGATGGGGTGTGTGGGGTGTCGCCACAGTGGTATTGCTGGATGATGTCGGTTCCAACGCTGTTCTAAGTCAAAGGAACCCTAACGTAGAGGCCCCGCAGCCGCCAAAGCTGCCTCCTGTCTGTGTGGGAGGAGAGAAGGCTCTGCTCCCAGCTCGCTGCCTCTGATGGTCCTAGTGAAGCTGAACTCCATAAACACACTGTCCAAATGACTCAGCAATATGTCACCAACGTAGAAGGGCCTGGATGAAAATGGGGATCAGCAAGTAATGGGATTAAAGAAGCCAGGGACACTAGGCCGGCGCCTTTGCTGGTACATAAGAGACATATCCAGCTCTGACTACCCTTAGGGGTTACGAATGAATCGTTCCTTCCTATGCAATGTGTCCTGGCAAAAGCAGTGGTGATTTTGTCTGAAGGAAACAATAATGATAATGTTAATCTTCAGGGGAAAGCTGATTAATTCCCATTTATCCATTCAACATCCAAAAAGGGGATGGGTTTCATATTTGGCTTAATTGCTGCTGAGCCCACATCCTGCTCTCTCTCACTCTAGGGGGAGCCAGCGGGCCTCCCGCATCTTACTGCACCCCATGGGAAGAAGCAAGATCAAAATGCAGCCCTCAGGTTGGACGGCATGGATGTCCCTAGGTGGTGGTCTTTCTCTCTCTCCCTCTCCCTCTCCCTCCCTCACTTACCCCCGCCCCCCAACAGGTTCTGTGCAACAGCCTCCTGCTCAGGAGATGGGAAAATGGCAAGGAACACCCTGCCTTTGTTGAAGTTGGCCACTTTTAGGCAAATCTAGCTTGCAGGTAAGTTTGGACTGAACCACACTGCTTTTGATTTTGGTTTTGATTTGCTCTCTTTTAACATGAATCTGTTGCCTAAATTGGGAGATTTTGTACAAAAATCCAAATTTCTAAATACTTCAAATACAAAGCCTGGCAACACTGGACCTGCATTCCCACATGGAAAACTCGGGGAAGCTGAGTTGTGGCTGCGCCCCCGCCCCCGCCCCCGTGAGTCTGCGCTCCCAGCCCTCCAGAGCACTGGGGGGCCAGTTCTAGTTCGTTATCATTCGCCCTCCAATGCTGGTTTTCCTACAAAATGAAGAGACAAGTGAAGTATTTCCTGCAGCTATGCAGCTATCGAGAGTGAGAAAACAACAAAAAAAGACTAAGTGGGAAGAATGTTTTAGGAGAACTGGGATGTGTATATTTCTCTATAGAAGTGTGAACATGCAAATAATTTGTATATGTATCTCAGTAATATAATTTAAGTGCCATTCTGAAATAAAACCCCACTGCAAAGGCTTACTTTATCTACCTGGCCCCCAAAGGCACCTCAGGTCATGCAGTGACATAGAAACCAGGGCTAGGACACAGAATCTAGCACGGTGATTTCCAAACTACAGGTCATGACCCATTAGTGAGACATGAAATCAGTTTAGTAAATTACCACCAGCCTTTCTTTTTTCATCCTTTTAAAAAAAAAAGTATAAAAAAGAGTATACTGCAAATACTAAGGATAAGTACTAGATAAATTTTTTTTTTAGTTTTCTATACACACATACCCAGCATGATGTGGGGTATTTTTAAATAGTTTGGTGATAGGTTAAAAAAATGAAGACGAATTGGTCTAGCACAGCCCACCAGGGTAGGTAACCAGAGAAGGATCTGGGCCGCAGTCCCGCCTCCCACAGATTGTGCAGGGTGGCGGCGGAGGTAGAGAACTGTGGGTTCTGGGTCATCTCTTCACATACTTCTGAGGAAACTGTGTGACTAGGTCCGGCCCCATGAGGCTGACTGCAGAGCTGTGGTCAGCGCTGCCCTGGGCTATAGTTTTTTACTACACCCACAGCTCAAGTGCCTCTTTCCCCAGAAGTGGCTATTAAAGGGTTTGGGAACCTGACAGTTATAATAATACTGTGAGACTGTCTTACTCAGGGCACTTTCAATACTCTTTAGATACTTTCATGTCTATCAACACTAGCTCAGCTTGAGCTCTGGAAAAAAAGGTAACGCCGGTTTCAGTGGCACCATTATACATGGGGACACTGGGCACTGCCCTGTGCTTCACCCAAATCACAGAGCTAGTGATGAGGCTGAGATGAGAATCCCTAGATTCCAAATGCACTGCCCCACGCTTTTTAAAAGTAGATACTGCTGATTTCCAGATGTCCCTAGGGCACCCAGACATCCATTTGGATTTACTGTGCAGACCGTCCATTCCTGACTTTGCACACTTACAGAAAGCAATGGATGGTATACAGAATTAAAAGGTGGGGAGAAGCCTTTAGACTTTGCACACTTACAGAAAGCAATGGATGGTATAGATACAGAATTAAAAGGTGGGGAGAAGCCTTTCAACCAGGAGTTCTTAACCAGTGGTGCACCATGGAATCACATCTGGGAAGCTTTTTCAGTGTCCATGTGCTAGGCCTCACCCCAGACCCCTGAGGTAGTAATTTTTAGAAATGGGACCCAGTCACATAGAGGAGAAACACTGCCCTAAACCTTATTTCAGATAGTAGGCTGAGCTCTCCAGTTGCTAAGCACAAAATAGAAACCTTCTACCTTATCCTTCGGAGTTGCCTGCTTTCTTCTCACAAGTGTTAATGAACTCTGACTTCACCGCCAGGCTGAGAGGAACAGGAAGAAGGTTTCATAGACTTAAACCTCGTCCTGAGTGATCCTGAGTTGGCGATCTAGAAATTCAGACAAGATTCCATGGTGTTCATAAAAGCTAGACAGGTACTTCCCACCCTGGCAGGCCCAGAAGCGATTCAGATCCGATTAGAGATGCTTGCTCAATATTCAAAATGTAAAACATAGAGGTTGCTGAACCAGCACTTTGAAAAGTTAATTAAATGCCAGGTTTCTTTTTAAGAGCTACTCCATCACTTGCTGATTGCTTTGGCCATTTTGCAGAATGAAGCTTTCACTCTGGACAATGAGTAAATGTTCTCCCTCACCTCCCACCTTGTGGAGACGGGGTGACAGGATGAGGGCACGCTGGCTTCCTGCTTTCCAGCAAGTGATACACTTGGTGACTTCGCAGGAAAGGAAATCAGCTATCACGGTGGCTCTTTCCCAATCTCGAAAAACACTCAGCCTCACGTAAACCAGCTGTTCTTTAAACATCAGGTTCTTGGGTGGAGGATTTCGAGGTTAAGGGAGTGGGCTCGTCATCCCCATCTTTATTTAAAGCCCAGTCCCTCGGCTCAACACTCCACCAGTCAGTCCTCTCCTGGTTTTCACCCCCAGTTCTCTAGGACCCACCCTCGGTTTCTTCTTCTTGGCTTCACACATCACCCTTACCTCTCAGGGAAAAGTCCACCCTCAGGCCCCTGCCCCAACAAGCCTGTCACAGGAGGCTGATGAAAGGCTATTATTAGTCGATAAACAGTTAACACTTATTTTGCTTATTTGGGTGCCAGGCACTGTCATCATAGTCTCTCACTTATATATTACCATTACATAACATATTATACATAGTATTATGTTTTCTTAATTTAATTATCACATTATCTT